GCTATTACGACCTCACAAGTCTTTGACAATCTGTCCTTAAAATCAGAAACATAGTCAAGAAGATTGAGCTCAGTATCTTCATTTAAAAGAAGTTTCTCTTTCAACAATTTCAAAGGTCCACGCACATTATGTCCGAAACCTAGTTCAAAGGAACTGAATCCTAAAGATTCTTGAACGGACTCCCTTAAGTAAATAACCGTAAATGAGTACCTTCATCCCAGTCTTTGCTACTCAAAGCAATAAGATTGAATCAAGTTCTTAAATGTCTGATGAAATCTTTCTAAGGTTCCCGTGGCTCTCAGGATAATAGGCAGAGGATTTAAATTGTTTAATGCCCAATTCATGCATAGTTTGCTAGAAAATTCCAGATATGAAATTTGACCCTTGATCAGACTGGACAGATTAGGGAAGGCCAAATTGAGTTGTTTTTTTTTTTTAAAGAAGCCTTTATTAAAGCTGTTAATATAGTCTTGGTTTTAGCATTCCTCAAAGGAATAGCCTCTTGAATCTTGTTGACCCATACATGATGGTCAACAAATATCGGTTGCACGACTTGGTCTTAGGTAAGGGACCAACACAATATACCATAATTCTGCTCAATGGTTTGTCAAATGCAGGAATTTGTTGTATCTTCTGATTGGGTTTTCCTACCATTTGATAAGCATGACAAGATCTGCAAAATTTACAAACATCACTTTCGACTTTAGGCCAATAAAAGTGAGTCAAGATATCGCTATAAGTTTTATTTATATCTAAATGACCAACCAGAGGAGTTTCATGGGCCAAACTAAGTATTTCCTGTCTGTCAGAATTTGGAAATGCAATCTGATAATTCACTAAGCACTCGTCATTAGCAGGTACCTCAGGAGGTCTCCATTTTCTCATAAGAATTCCATTTTTAATGAAGTGACATATACTTAAGTTGCTTCATTTTCACTAAAAGCCCTCCGAAACAATTAGATCTTATTTTTTCCTGTTCAACAATTGTCGTTTATCACCCTGATTAGATATAGAGAATGGAAATTTAAAAGAGGGTCACGTTTCTGACCAAAAAATAAACTGGGTATCGCTCAGGGTATTCTTTTTAATGAAAATTTAAAAGAGGATCACTGTGATCAATACCAACCGATGGATCCAAATTAAAATTGAAAATGACCTCATCAAACGTCTGACCGATATATCCTTACATCCTTATGAAAACCATTCTCAGGAGCTTTATTTTACAAGCTGGGTATCGCTCAGGGTATTCTTTTTAAATTAGATCAAGTTTCTGATCCAAAAAGAAGGCTTGTCAGTTACACTCAAGGTCCTGAAACTAAGCTGATGACAAATTTACAGAATGGTGCAGAGCATTAACAAAGCCTCACTCTACTCCCTGAATTAGAACCCTCATTAGAACAGAACCTCTCGGAAGAAGGCAAAACACCTGACACTAAAAGACTGAGAAGCTCCCGTATCCATTCAAATTTTAATAGGAATAGGATTGGCCGAATCATCCAAGAGTGATATAGAACCCTTAGACATGAATGTTTCATAACTTTCTATAATAAAATCAGACTTATGTTTATTAGACCAAACAAATGTATTGTTTCCAATACATGGCTGTAACCTTGACCTCTTAAAAAAAGATCATTTGGGATAGGTCTCTCTTTATTCTGATGCCTATATTTCAATTTGAAGCAATCAAATATGACGTGTCTTTTTTTTTCTTGCAAAAGGTACACGTAGGCAGAGACAAGGATTTTAAATCAAGTTTCTCAACGGCTCGATTTTAGAATTTGTGCCAGATTGAGATTTACTGAGTCGTATTAGGCTGAAATACATTCCTAACAGTAGACTGCTGAGTAAATGTTTTGCTTACAACAGGAACTTTATGAGTTAAGGAGTACTCATCGGCAGCAAGAGCACCATTTTCCAAGGTTTCAATCTTATGCTCTTCAGGATGATTCTTAGTACGTATATGTTAATAAATTGCTTGAGTGTAAGCTTTAAGATGCTTTGTTTCATTGTATTTAATTGCAATGAATATTTTTATCGGATTCGGATATGTTTAGCAGTGAGATATATTGTTAGCACAAAGTTTGTTTATTCAAGACGAAGATGTAATACGTAAGAATTAACATTGAGTTCGTCTTACCCTAATAACAATATCAACATCAAATTAAAATGATTGGTGTGTATCACGAACATACTTTCTTCGCGTGATCACTGTAAACAACATTTCTTATTATTGGTTTGAAGTAAAGTGACATTGGCTTACGTGTGAAAGTTAGCGTAGTAAGAGACCATATAACCAATCTCGCGAGACTTGAAATAAAGTCTGGAGTTTTAAATATGCATTACATATGTTTCAGACAGTCATTGAAAACCTTGAAGGAATAAGATATATTACTTTAATTTGTTGCCAAAATATTTCATTCTTCGTGCGATTTTTGGATTCAATAATTTATTCTCCTAGACATTCAGCAAGATGACTTTTTTATAAAAAAAAATCTGAAAGATATTCATAGTAGTTTATTCTAGAATTATTAGTAAAACAAAGATTGTTATTCAAGTGAGGAATTGTTGATATTCATACAGTGGACTACATCTGACGTCATGGCCCTCCATATTCGTACGTTGTGGGGACTCGAGCCTGGATTCTTATAGGACTATTTAGTGATATGACTTGTGTTTTGTATTCTTAGAATCATATTTGAATTATATTCTCAAACTGTAAGTTCTATTTACCAATTTATTTTATTTATTTCCGTAGAAAACAATTAAAAACTGGTAAATAGGACTTACATTCTGTAAATACAATCCAAAATGACGAATTTAAGCTACAGATCGATACATGGGTAGAGCGACTGTTACCAAAAGAGACTGAAGGCGTAGGTTTGGGCTTGCTTGATCTCAAAATATGTTTCAACAAACATTTAAAGATAAATAGAACAAGCAAAAAGAAGAGATTGAGCCCCATTACAGGACAACTTAATCGTTGTGGTCTGTAAGTAAATTGAACTAGCATATTTCTCACAAGCCTTTCACAGGAATCACTGATCAACGCATTTTTGCAGCTGTTGCATGGAAATTTTTACTTATCGTGTCTCACCCACTAAAAAAATGAAAAGTGATCATTTTAAATTCCTTTGGAGTCGTAGTTAGTTGCATTACTAATTGCTTTTGATACATGACACGCATTTAGGCATATTGTTTAATGTTATTTTGTGATATGTGAGAATGGAATTCGTGTTATTTCCTTTCAAAGCGGACTTAAAATATATGTCGAATCAATCAACATGAGAATCAGTTGATATGTACATAATAGGCGGCATTCAATCCTCCGCGTTTAATCAGTCGGGATGACCAAAGTTTGAACATAAATAGGTATGGCATTGACTAATTCTCTATGTTAGGGTTTTCTTTTGATCAGGCTTTTCTGTAAAAATTGCATGCAACTATTATTTCCTGAACACTGAGAATGGTAGTAATTGGTGTAGTTATTACAATTTGTGCTCATTAAGGCGAACGCACTTGATCTACGTAGCTAATTTAACTTTTAAGTCCACATTATTTTTTAGACAATAGTAAAGCAGCATCAATATAGTACAATTAATGGAAACTTTTTCTAGCATACAATGCATAACACACCGGCCTTTTGGATAGTATAGTCAAGTTGCTCATTGATTTGATCAATGCGTTGATTCTGGAATTTTATTTGAGTCACTGAAAATACAAATAAGAACTTAGCCGTACATTTCATGAAGTCATCAGTTGTTAGTAATAAACTTCCCGCATGATATCTGTTCAAAGTTGACTTTTATATAGCAGCGGACAATGCTGTATAGGACCCTCGAAAAGGGCGAGTGGTCTAAAGCGCTGACCGTTACAGATCACTGCCATCTCACCTCTGCGTGAGTTCGAGTCCAGACTCGGCTAACGTGGGTAAGTGAGAAAGCATGACAGTAGCTTCGCGAGAGTCGGTGGTTCTTCCCTGGGTTTTCCAGGGTTCTTCCTCCACTATTAATACTGGCCGCCATGTATAGCCTATCTTGTGCTGAAAAATGGTGTTAAACCCAACAACAACAACAACAACAACAACAACAATGCTATATATGAAACATATTAAATATTTGGAACGTTTACTTTGTATGGAAAGCAGCAGTAATGCCTCAAGTAATAAAGTGACACATACCGTTAAATATTGTGACAGAAAAGATAAAAACTTGTGTCGTTTTCATGAGTATACATTCTTCAATTTTGCGCATGCCTAATTTCCATTTAGTGACATTTGTGATGATCTAAGTCGGCACTATAAGATAAGTAGTAAGCTTGTCACCATGCGGCCCTACGAGAATTTAACATTACGGACCTGTTACCTATGACGAAAGGAAGTTAATAACACGGATAATAATAAAAGGATAGGATGGAAATTTAAGTTAATGATGGGCCTGGGATGGGGTAGAATTAAACTTTACGGAATTCTGAGAGAGTGTCCATTAATAGTACTGAAACACTATCAAGGCCTATTAGAAGGTAACGTTAATGGAGACAAAAGGGGCATTTAAAATGGATCGGAGCGTATGTGATCCAATGCGAATTGAATATTAACATTAATGGGGTGATATGGGCCCTATGGAAATGGAAATTTAAAATGAATGGATCACAGTGGGTAGTGGGTCTATGGAAATATTGCGTTAATACTGTGGCACTGATGGAAATTTAACATTATTTGCCATTATAGGGCTTAAGGGAATGTAGCGTTACAGGTCACTTAAGACGTGAACAGAGATGATCGACCAAAATTGTATTATCCTTGTGTTACGTTTTTAAAGTCCCTATAATACCATTTTTGTGATTTTTATTTCCCTTTTCCCCACTAATCACAATTTCCAGGAAGAGCTTTATATTCATCACCCATAGAACTGACAAGGATATGTTACTTAGTTTTGTTTCGTTTTTGCTTCTCCGATAATCCGGAAGTAGTATACTTAGGGCATTAATAGTCTATTCGCACTTGACTTTTGTTGTGGCACAGTGGCTAAAGCGTCTGCCTCGGAAGCAGGAGTTTGTGGGTTCGAACTCCAGCCGAGTCAAAGACTTATAAATATTATACTAGCAGCTGACACGCTTAGCGCTCGGCATTAAGAGGTTAGTGTTATTATTACTGGTATGCTTATGTCAGGATAATGTGACTGAGTGGGACATCATGATATATGTATGCGGCATGATGCCCCAGTACTAAACATTACTATAAACTGTCACAATGCTAGTTACTCTCTAGTTTGTTATTCGACGAGAACTTCTAACAAAGAAATAATGGTCAACATCTTGTAAACGAGGACTGTGACAATTTTGTTCTGTTTTGTTGAAAAGATTATTATTGTTTTCCAATTATAGGTTTTAAAGCTTTCTTTGTTGATCAATGACATGTTAATAAGAGGGGTCGGTGCTCTTGAAAAGCACAGCACTCACTCTAAAATTCAAATGTGCTCATATTTCATAATACCAAGGAGTTATTATGCGGCGAGATGATTCCCCTTTAGATGTTCTTCCTGCTTTTGTAAAATTAAAATTTCACTTCATAAATTTTATGTCGCTAATAATGAAAATGAAATCATAATTCTAAAAAGGGTGAAATTATTCTGAAGAATCCGAACAAACAATGTACTAACATTGCTCAGCATGAAGTTTTATTGAACTGAAAACAACGTTTTATTAACATAGCTAAATTATAAAATTTAACATCGAAATCATAATGAAGCACTTTTGTTTGGCAATTTGTCAAACGAAAGACACCAGTAGCTAGAACACAGGTAATCGAATTTCCTAAATTTACTGAGCTCTGCATCAGACATTAATGCAGGAAATTATATTTAACCAAGCAACATTTGTGTTTGATTGCTGTGTTGCACATAGCGACAAACTAGATAGTGTAACATTTCAGGAGCAAGGCCAAATAAATTGAAATAGATGGACAGCTGAAACCTTTTTCTCATGCAAATTTGAATGTGGCGAAAAAAGAAATTTGCAAATGTTTCGAATGATGCATATAACATAATTCTAATAATCAATGCTAATCTTGCACAGAAAAATGTTTCACTGGTTATAGAAATGTAATCATGTAGCGCACAGAAGTGGTATCTGATTTTGTAAGCCAAATTAAGGTTCGGCAGCAGACGTTAGTTCATGTTTTAAAGTTACATGGCTCATACGCTAATGGCACAGTCTAGAACCCCGGATGTACAAGTCAGCAATGAATTTCAGCAAAGCAGAGATATTAGTTGTAAATGGAATTGAGCTTATAGAACTCCATATTATTTTATACGAATAATGTTGAACAACTCATTGATATTTCCCTATGGGCCATTTGGAAATACGTTGGGTAAACGATACACCACATAATACACTATTACTACTCTTTTTCGTTCACATCACTATATTTGTAAGTGTTAACATGTGATTTGGAAGTTTAACGTAGCTTTAACAATTGTTCAGTCATATCGCTGCGATGTCTGCAGTAATGCAGTTTAAAGTGATGTATAGCACTGGGGCATCATACGTTGATATATAGCGTGATGTCAATCCAGTCACATTATCCTGACACCAGGCCGACCAGTCCTAACATTTAATGCTGAGGGTCTAGAGAGGCAGATGCATGTACCATTTTTGTGAGTCTTTGCTATGACTCGTCTAAGGTTCGAACGATCTTTAGACGCACACGCACGTGCACACACGCGAGCACGCACACACACATATATATATCAGTGATAGAAAATGCAAGGAAAATGCAAACATATATTGTTTTAATTTCAAAAGAAGGCATCTTTTCATGAACATATAACAATTCAGACATAATTATGCTGTTCAATATACAATATTTGCAGAAAACTGTAGTGATAAACTATCATAGTATACTAAACATGAAACTATGATATGCATGAAATAGGCGTGTATGTATGTATGTATGTATGTATGTATGTATGTATGTATGTATGTATGTATGTATGTATGTATGTATGTATGTATGTATGTATGTATACATGTATGTATGTATGTATGTATGTATGTATGTATGTATGTATGTATGTATGTATGTATGTATGTATGTATGTATGTATGTATGTATGTAAGACATGCATGTTTGATTTGCACTATACATTTAACCTTTGTTCATAACTGAGGATAGGAAATGGGGTTCACATGAATAATGTCATATGGTGTTAACATGTTTTCCTGGTTTTTAGTTTTAGATGCAGCTTTGATTGTGAATCTAGAAGATCACAAAAACGAATTTTGTTTATAGTGTGATAGAAATTTCCATTAAAATAAACCTCATTCTGCTCAGGTCATTGTGACATGAGTTTTTTATATTAGGGTCGTTTTTATTAGCAGTCCTTCTTCCCACTGTAAAATCTAAACAGTGGAATCGGAAGGATTTGTTGTAATAGGTATATTTTGAGATGACTTATTTATTTAATTTATTCATCCGTTTGAAGTCTTCGACTTTAGAATTACATTTCTGTTTTAGTATTATTGAGATACATATTGGATTATATCGTTGTAAAGCATAAATACTGTTAGCAGATCAACGATATTCATGCCGTAGGTATATAAACACATTAAAAATAGGAATTTGTTCAGAACAACACTGGAATTCATCCGGATTACTCAACACTTTTTAGACTTGTAAAGGACCTTGTAAGACAATTTGGGATTTAGTTCACAATTTAATTTTAGATTTGCATTTTGTATTCAGGAAAAAATTATTTACACAACGTATGCATGTATGTATGTATGAATGTATGCATGTATGCATGCATGCATGTATGTATGTATGTATGCATGCATGCATGCATGCATGCATGCATGCATGCATGCATGCATGTATGTATGTATGTATGTATGTATGTATGTATGTATGTATGTATGTATGTATGTATGTATGTATGTATGTATGTATGTATGTATGTATGTATGTATGTATGCATGCATGCATGCATGCATGCATGTATGTATGTATGTATGCATGTATGTATGTCTTGTTTTATAATATTGTATGTATGTATGCTTGCATTTATTTTCTGCATGGTTGTATATTGGTATAGTAGCAAAAATGTTTCTGAATTTTTTCTCTGGTTTTTAATTAGGCTGGTAGACAGTTTGTTTGTGATATATTATTGTGTATTTAGATGGCGCTGGTTTTCAGTACGCATTGTTTTCGTCGTTGTCACTTACCTGAAATAAGGTAGAATCAGTTTGGAATTCGCTAGGAAGAACATTCAAGTATTCCGATCTACCCACCTCCCATTTGTTTTGAAAAGCATTTGCTAGTCTCCTTTCACATGAAATAGGCGTGTATTATTTTAGAAAATGATATTCAATGTGTTAGGTTGTTCAAAATGATCCACAAATTGTAGATATGTTATTAAGCTAGAACATACTATTGCTGGCAAAAAGTACTAAAAATTTATAATCTAATGATTCTTAAATGATATTTATTCCTGGATCGTTACTTTGAAGGTGAATGACGCTTTGTAAATTTTCTCCTTTGTTCTTTTCAATTTGATTTTCTCAAAATAATTGACGTTCCAACAGCAATTCATTATATTAAATTAAATTAATTCCAACGAACTGATGTTTTATTTGTTGGATGCTTTAGATGATGAAAAATCAAATTACATGAACTTCTTTATTAGAAAATTTCCTTTGGCTTGTCTACGTTTGTCTCACAAAGACTGCAGCTAGTAGACGTTTGCCTCACAAAAACAGCAGCTAGTAGACGTTTGCCTCACAAAGACTGCCGATAGTAGACGATTGCCTCACAAAGACTGCATATAGTAGACGTTTGCCTCACAAAGACATAGCTGAACAGCATTTATTCAATCGCAAAATTAGTATGAAGTGTGGAAAGCATGATCATATGATGAAAACTTTTGATTTAGCTTTCCTATTCTTTAAAATAAAATGAAAATCCAAATATTAAGAGCAAGTTGCTTGAACATGGCAGGTAGGAGAAGATGAATGATACAAGTTTTTGGCAATAACTGTCCTTCTTAAGATATGACATTTCGTGGTTGCAATAGATATTCTATAAACACAGGTTCATCTGTAAATTTTAGCCGTGAACATTTATCAGTTAGGAACCACGTGCGCGCGGGCACATAAAAACAATTTATTAGCCATGGAAAATTCGAAGACCCCTCAATATATGTTGCCTCTGTAGTTTAAAATCATATCCTAAAAACTTGCAAATTGTGTTCTTCTTTGAGACAAAGCGTTATGAGAAATTATGTGAGTGTCATGATAGCGATGATTAAAGTCCTTTGAGAACGATATATCCTTTTCTATCTTAGATTATTGAAGCCCTCTGAGATCAACATACAATGTTCTGTGTTAGAAACATATATGAAAATCGATTGAGAGATAGTCAATGAAGATAATAATGTTAGGAAAAAAACAAACAGTAAACCGTTGTTTCTGTGATTGCTAAATACCCAATTAAACTTGTCAATAGGATGTAATGTAAGGACATGTTCTTATCTTAAAATAAACTGGCAAGACGGTAGCTGCCATATAATTATAGAGAATACGTATAATTTCCGAGACCAGTGGATTTACTGTGTGTATATTTTAAAATGCATCCATTGCGTTCTAAATTACATTACGCTGTCAATACTACACCAAAGAGAAATGTGTTATACCATCTCATTAGCATGCCCAGTTGTCTTCCAAGCCTAAGATTTAATGATAGACTGTCAACTGTTAATCGATCTCTTGCAATGAAGCTATGTAATAAACTTGACCCTAAACATAAAACTAAGTATAAGCTGAATAACAGCTTTCTATTTTATGTGTGATACATAAAATACGTCTTATAACAAATAGTGTCTCATTTGTATTAAACAAAATAACGTTTTTCAGAAAATGAACCGATGACTCAAACCTTCTTTTGGTTTGATATACTGATAGAAAGTAATGCAGCACGTTGTAAATAGGTTTATTTGTAACATATATATTTAGTGTCTACGTAATATGTTATAATTTTCTTCTCATATTTAAATAAATGTTTTCAAACTTATTATTCGATGTTTCAA